CTCTACGCTACTTCTAGAACATGATCAAATAACCTAGGAGTATAAGCATATTACCAAAATTAAATGACAATCAAATTTGCTTATTTATACAGTTATCAAGAAAAAAAAAATGTTAGTTCAAACTACCTGGAAATGCAAAATCAGAGAGGAGATCCCATAGTATGCATTTCTAAAGTGAGGATCTCTTTTGGCTTTACGGTTTACACAAATGAATTGTTATTGTTAGCATTTAATCCAAACGATTTTAAGGAAAAACTAACAATTCGTCGTACTCGCTGTTCTTTTGCTTGCACCTTCATTTGCTGCACCTCCAGCAAATCAGGCTGACGTCGGCGTAAATACAAATTATGAGTGCCAACACATAAATCCAAAATGCTCATGTTAATCGACATATCCTTCGCACGAAAAGTTATCGTGCTCTTGTCCATAGTTCTCATGCTGAACTGAAACAGTACAAGTAATGCTGTTCTATTCTCGATTATTTGCCACAAATTTGCCCGGAAATCTTCGGTAATCAAGTAAAATATAAGAGGCTGAAAACTGCTCGAGCACTAAATGATTTTTTCCAGTGATATTATTAACTGTCAAGGCAACCTGAATATTCGAAAAAATAATATTAGAATAAGCTGGTTATCTATGCTGCACCACATGAATATTATAAACTATATCACTGACAAGTATAGAAAAAACAAAGGAAAAACCTCATATTCTCCACAAAAATTGTACAACTACCCACTGCAGGAAAAAGGCGATATATTAAAACAAAAATTTGGAAAGCAAGGAGAACGAATTATGTCAAAGAGGCCCAAATTATGCCAAAGAAATGAAAAGTAAGGCTAAAAAAGAATATAAAATTATCAGGACACTCAAAAAAGTTACAGTCCGTTACACTGGGATAGCGTTCAACCTGCTCAATACATAGAGGAAATATTAGCACAAAAAAATTTAGCCGAAGGATCGCAAAATTATCTGAAATGCGCATTATGGCCATAAAGTGAATCGTGTGGATGGAATATGTTGAGACCTCGATGATCTTTGATCATGATCTCCGGAAGTTCTAGGGAGATCTCTATCATAGATTGTTCTGCAGAATTTTCTGTAATGTTCTTTGTGACTGCATATAGATTGGGTTGCGTCGTTTAGTGCTTTTTATTGTGCTCTACTCCCTGTATAAATACTCCTGCTTTTGTTGGTTTGTTGTTCGTTGGCTAATATTGTGTGGTGAATAAACCGACTTATCCTTCTGCGTTACTTTCACTATCCAGTATTCGTCGTCATCAACTCAACTCTCGGACCCAACAGAATGTAAGAGCAGAAAGGATGTAGTTTATATCACATTACAAACAGGCATGTGAGTAAGCAGCCTATTTCATTCCTTAACTAAAGCGCAGGTAAAGTTTTGGGTACGGGAAGGAGTGGAAATCATCAATACAGTCCTCCTATTATTCGCCAGGCAGGGAATAAGCTTATTTATAGCGGTATTGGGATGAAGAATACTGCAAAAATGATAAAATTAGTGCCAGTTTTGAGTTCCCAACGATAGATCGATAAAACACTTTAGCAAATGAGATGCGGAAACTCACAACTTTGTTTTTGAATGAGATATTTTTAATTTCACTCCACGAGAAGAACGGACGAGGTGTGATTCGATTAGTCTCCTTGTAAATGCCAATGCCCTGCGCCGAGACACCCAGTGTTAGATCCGTTTCTTTGTTGTTCTGAAAAGAGATGCTCAGAATAAAGACCGTCTAAATGTCGATACGCACTTAATTTTGCAAGTCAAAGCCAAAAATCAAGATCCTCACCATATTCACTCTCTACGAAGTGAAGGCTATTGGAGGTACACTGCAAGCAAGTGACGCAAGCACTAAAAGGGGTCTTTGAAGTGTGTTCTGTAAAGATGCTAATATAATTTTTAATTTTTAATAATGTAATAATAATATAATAATAATATATTCAATAATATAATAATAATATAATAATTCCACTAAAATACGTGCAAGAATTGTGGAAATGAAAAAACTTATGTACTGAAACACAGAAAATAACACAGCGGACTCCATATTAAGACGGATGAACGAACTTGTTTTGGATAAGGAAATATTCTCAAGCAAAGCAAGCTCTGCCAGGAGAAAGGCAGGAAGCTAGCAAGGCTATGGGAAATTTCTTGAAAAGCTTATCTAAATTCACTGCCAGTACTGTGAAATTTAGGCACTGCTACTAC